TCTTCCCTGTTTTTGTGACCTGCTTATTCTTAGCCTTTGTTTGTATTTCTAACTGATTTTTTTTATTTTAAAGAGAATAAAACCTAACAAAAATAAAACAGAATAAAACCAATCACAACAAGACAGTGAAAGTGGTACAGAACTTTAAAACAGGATAATAGGAAATCAACAATGGCTACCATAATATATCTTATCTTTACAATTGTTCATACCAGCAGACATAGTAAAACCAAATAAAATTAATCAAAATGGAACATTAAATAAAACCAAACAATAAATCAGAACAAAACTAAACAGTGAGAACAATACTGGATTTCAAAAACAAGACAGAATGAAAGCCTCCATATTTGCTGTATTGCATGCTGTCATCCTCCTAATAGATGCTCAGACCACCGGCCTGAGGCCTGAAAAGTCAGTCAAACAATACCAGTATTTAGTTGCTATCAACTGAGCCTGTCCTCTGAACAAGCCACTGCTTACAGGGATGGGAGGGGAGTGTTGTTGATTCTCAGCCCATGCACCGGTCAGCTCAGGGCAAGGGCAAACTGGCTTCTTTCTTCCTGGGCCCTGCATGTTTGTATGGCTTATGGGAAGGATGAATTGGCTTCTTGCTGTACCCCTCCCAGACCCAGCATGGCTTCTGCTGACTCACAGGAAGGGCAAATTGGCTTTTCTCTTCCTGGGCCTTGCATGGTTTGTGCCCTGGCTGATGTTTGTCTTTCTTTCTTTCTTTCTTTCTTTCTTTCTTTCTTTCTTTCTTTCTTTCTTTCTTTCTGACACAGGGTTTCACTGTCTGTAGTTCAGACTGGCCTTGCACTCACTACATAGCCCAGATCCTCTCACCTCAGCTTCCTGATTGCAAGGATTGCAGGTGTGAGCTATCACACCCCGTTCCACTGCTGGAATCCCTTCTCACTTCCAATACTCTTATCCCGTCATTCTTGCTGTGCTCTGAAGCAGCTCTGGAGGTCCTCTTCATGAGCGTCTTCAGTTGCACTGTCTTGGCTGCCTTGATGTCCTGACTTGATTCCAAACATTTACTTTTCATGGCCATTTTGACACTGGGAAAGAGCCAGAAGTCACATGATGCCAGGTCTGGGCAGTAAGGTGGATGAGGACACACTGTGATATTTTTGTGAACCTACTTTTCTGCGGGATGGCCCTTGTGGCAGCAGTTAACATATTTTCAATTTGAGAATACACCCTACAAAGTCAGCCAGGACGGAGGACCTCTGGAGCTGCCCCCAAAAGTGATAGGCATGGCGGGGAAGTGAGTTTGGGTTGAAGAGTGTTTTAAGAATTTGCGGTGTGTCTTTTACTGTAACATATTTTTCATTTTTGATTTAAACATGCACTATTTATTTGGTTGCATTGCTCCTATGTGTGTGCACACACATGTTTCAGGTGTGTATTTCAGCTTTTTTCTTCTCTGTTTTTCTGACTCAGTAATCAGTTTGTACTTTTACACCCTAGGGGCCATTATAGACTGGAGATAAAACCCCCTGGTAAAGCACACGCTGTCCCAAGCCTTCTGGTGCCACCCTTGTCCCAAGGAACATACCACACGGGGGCTGCCCGCGAGGCAGCTTCTGCAGCCCAGAGCACCGAGCGCCTTCCCAGAAACTCCCTGATGCAGCGGCTCAGCAGCGGGCATGGGAACTGTCGGGAGCTTGGGAACCCATCCTCTGTCCTCCTGGCACAAAGGGGCTGGGACAGGGCTTGGGGACAACCCAGCTAGCACAGGAGAATTTAGAAAAAGCCAGCAGCCTCTAGGACTGAGGCCCAAATGCCCTCTCCCCCTCACACTAAATGCAAACCATTCATAAAAAGCCAGAAAGCAGGGCCTTGGGTTGAAACAGTTCTACTTTTAAAATTTCTCTTCCCTTGCTTCTTTTCACTGGAGTGATGTCATGTTATACTTAGTTCCACAACTGTTACATTGCTACAATTGCCACAATTGTGGCGTTTTCTTGGACTGAATTTTATGCTTCTTTCTTTAAAATAAATGTTTCCCTGGTTCCTATTCCCCCGTTTATCCTCCCTCCCTTTTTTTTCTCTTGTGGAGCCGGGATGAACCCAGGACCTTCATACCAAGCTACAAGCTACATCCTCAGGCCTATTTTCCTTTTTCTTTTCTTTTTTTTTATATTTTGAGATAAGGTCTTAGGACTGGGGATATAGCTCAGGAGCATAAACACCTGTCTTGCAAGTGCAAGATCCTGAGTTCAATTCCCAGTACTTAAACAAAGAGAGAAATTTCCAGTACATAAACAGAGAGAGAGAGAGAGAGAGAGAGAGAGAGAGAGAGAGAGTTGCTAACTCACTAAGTTACCCACCCTGTGTTTGAACCTGTGATCAAATGCAGCTTCTTGAGTGGGGAGGAGCCAGACCCAATTATCTTTCTGAATCCACTCAGGAGCTGGGTATGTGATTTAACCCAAGAACTCTGCCTTTCCCAGCACTTGGAAATTCGAGTAAGGGGGGCAGGGAAACAGCTGGCTGTAGTACTGTCACCAGATGGGGTTTGAGGACAGTCTCCAAAGAATAAATGAGGAACCTCAACTCACTGATTCTTGTCACAACAAATAACATTTATTCAGGAGTCACTGGTAGGAAGCACAGGAAAGACTTATTTGATAGAAAAACACACAAGTGGAGCACAAGTGTTTGGAGAGTGAGCCCCTCTGTGGCTGGGCTGTTGGGGTTAGAAGACCTGAGTTCCTGTGCCACTGGGTTAAAGCACAGGCCCACTTTCTTTCTTTCTTTCATCTTTTTCCTTTTTATCGGTACCAGGGATCGAACTCACGACTGCCTGCTTGCCAGGCAGGTGCTTATGCCGCTGAGCTAAACCCCCAGCCTCCCAGGCCCACTTTCCAGGTGAAAGGCAATGGCCCTTTCTACAGGTGAAGGGGACAGTCTAGAAAGGCCCGTTTTACGTGTCAAAGGGGATAATGATTCCTCACAAGGAAAAGGGTAATTTTTACAGGTGAAATAAAAGCACTGGCCCACAATCCAATTTACACTTGTATTGTGACTTTAAGACTCTTAGGTTTGGTTTTGCCCTGTTTTGTTAAATCCAAGGCCCTTGCACTGAGTGAGCTACCTCCCCAGCCCTTTTTACAATCTTTATTTTGAGACAGGATCTCATAAAGTCACTGAGTTTCCCAGGATGACCTGAAACTTCAAATCCCCTGAACTTAGCCTCCCTGAGTGGGCCATCACCACACCTGGTTGTTTTGATTTTTTTTATATTTTAATTTTAATTTTTGCATGTGTTTCCAGGAAAGGAAAAAAGCTTGAGTAACTTTTATTTTTTGAGACACAGTAGGTGGCGTTCAGGCTGGCCCTGAACTCACTATATAGCCCAGGGTGGCCGCAAACTTACTGTGATCCTCCTGCCTTGGCCTCCAAAGGGCTGGGATTACTCAAACCACCCTACCTGGTTTGAGTAATCTTTATAATTATGGTCTTTCCTTGTCTCTTTTCTACCTGTCTTTTTTTTTTTCTATCCTACCTCAGTATCATCAGGGCTCCTGGGCCACACAAGTGGGATTGTTTCAGATTAGAGATAGCTCTTTTTTTTTTTTTTTTTTTTTGTCTTTTTCCTTTTTATCAGCACCGGGGATCAAACTTGCGACTGCCTGCTTCCAAGGCAGGCACTTATGCTGCTGAGCTAAACCTCCAGCCCCTAGAGATAGCTCTTGGAGTTCTTAGGACCTCCTTCTTTGTTTTTTCCATCCCCAACTGTTCTCTGAAGGAGCCTGTGGCTCTTACCTGCTCTGAGTTCCCCGATGGTCTTTTCAATAAGTTCTTTTGCTTCAATTAACAGAGTCATTGGCTGAAACTTTTAACCCAGACCCTTCCTCCTTGCCAGAACTGAGCCTCATTCTCACCTTTGGGGAACTGACTGGAAGAGCAGCCCTCAACCCAGCCAGTGTTCTAGGGTTACCAAGACCATTATGCCATGATCTGGTCTTAAATGTGATTTTGTTTCACTGGGACAGTTGCCATTAGCCAAAACCAGCTTCCCAGAGAATCAGACACAGGACAGAGATGGTTTGCTCTACCACCCTCCTATGACAAGCAGGCATCAAATCCAATCATTGACTTGCAGTGGGAACACAGATGAATGGATCCCAGTTGCTAGAAAGTATCAGCTGCACATGCCCCAGCCCTTCAGGTCTTTTTCCTTTTGTGTACATTTCCATTCCTCTCGAGGACAGATGGTGGAAAAACAAATCTTTGTCAGTAAAAGGCTGTACTTCAAAGTCACCGTGCGCTGCCACTCTCTGATCTCTAAGAATGCTGACCTCGCTGCTAGAATCAGGAATTTGCTCCGGACACTTGGTGTACATAAGCTTCTCGGGTCAGCCTGGAGATGGCGCTGTTTTCATGTGGTCAGTTAAGTGCTAACATCTCCCAGCGCCAACCCAAGCAAAAAGGCCTGCTGCTTCGCACGTGGGATTTGGATTAATTAAAGGTTAACTAGAGAAAATTAGGTAGTTTCAAGCGATCTTTGAAATGGTGCACAAAATTCAGAATCTATAAAAAGACAAGATTTAGCCTCGGGTGTTGCCACATGCCCGTAATCCTAGCACTTGGGAGGCTGAGACAGGAGGATTGAGATCCTGTTTCAAAATAAAATATAATAATAAAGAAGGGCTCAGATGTGGCTCAGTGTAAAAAAAAAACATGGGTTCGATCCCCAGTGTCAGAAAAACAATAAACAAAACAAAACAAAAACTCCGACTTCCGTACCTACTCATCCTTGCGCAGGGATTAAGAAGCAACCCAGTGATGAGCACTAAATGGAGCTGTGGAACAGGAGTGTTGGGGAAGGTGCCTCTGCCTGGGGCGGTGATAAGCGGGTAGACTCCAAACAGGCTGTGGAAGCCAAGAGATCCCAAGCAGAAAGGGCGGGGCTTTTCTGCACACGCAGTTAGACCACGTGTGAAAACAAGGGGGTGTGCAAAGCCTGGTACACATGCATAACTACGAACAGCGAGGAAAGCAGCCTTGGGCGACGGGGACTTTCCCTGCGTACACTTCTCACTTGCCAAGGTCTGCCCTTCCGGTCATGGAGACCAACATAGTCACTTGCCGCTACACAATTTTCGACTGAAAAGGATTTTCAAGTTCGCCCATCCGACACTACTTTTTAAAGACAAATACACGACAGCCACATAGAAGTGAGACGACCAATCTCGGGTTGCAACCTCTGACAACACAGGAGTAGCAACGGCCAGCCCGGGAGGGTGCCTGCGACCCTCCCGCTCTGCACAGCCTCTGCGCCGCTAGGATCCCCGCACCGGGGTTGTCGAGCAGACTACATCTCCCATAATGCCGTGGGTCTTGTCCTCCTCCCGCCGTCCGGCAGAGCACTGTCTTCGCCAATAGAAAAGTAGAGATTCTAGATGGCATTCTTAGCAACCAATGAGCATGGTAGTGGGCAGGGTCCTCCCGGGCCCTCCCGTCCATTGTTCTCGGTACCCCACGGGTTTAACTGGGGTGAGTGTCTTGCGGCCCGGCACATTCTGGGGGCGGTTTTGCGCACTGGGTAACCCCCCGGGCAGGACGTGGTGCTGGGAGAGGTGAGCAGAGGGGCCATCATGGATCCGCGCACTCTGGGGGAGCAGTCCGAGGCTGGGGGTAGCGGGCCTGCGGCCAGCTGTGGAACCCCGCGGGGGGAGGGGCGTCGGGGGCTCAGTCTGCGGCCCTAGCATCTGTGAGCCAGCACTGTGACCGAACCAGACTCCCTTGCCCATCCCGCCAGGAGGTGCAGGGCTGCTCTGGGAAATGATGGGCTTTCGACGATACCCCAGCAGCGTCTTTGTGGCTCAGATGGGGAAACTGAGGTCCGGGGGTGGGGCGTGTCTGGTCCTGGCTCTGGCTGCGAACTCAGAGTTTCTGTGGGTTTCCCAGACTCCCAGTGCTTTGGGAAAATGCACGTTGGGAACTTTGGTTTTCCGTCACATGTTGCTGCTGCAGTCCTGAACTTAAGTAATGTGTAATTCCACTACTTTCTTTCTTTCTTTTTTTAATCTTCTAAAATCTCTATGTTGAAGTTCCACTACTTTCAATACAGTATATTGTGTGGAATCGTCGACGGGGTCTTTTTTTTTTTTTTTTTTTTGACTTTTTCATTTTTATCGGTACCGGAGATCGAACTCACGACCGCCTGCTTGCAAGGTACTTATGCCGCTGAGCTAAATCCCCAGCCCCGACCGGGTCTTTTTTTTCCCTGTGTGTGTGTGTTCATTTTTAGAAGGAATTGGGATTTTATTCTGTATGGTATTTCTGCTTTGCTAGTTTTGTGTTTATCTGTTGTTTTCATACCAGAAAGGTTATCTGAAATCATTAATGAATAATCCTGTTAGTATAATTTTTAAACTATTAGCCCGGGGTGTAGCCCACTAGTGGACTGCTTGCCTAGTGTTCAGTGCCGTGGCTTAGGCCTCCAGTACTGCAAAGAATAAGAATAGGTAACAAAAATTAAAAAATAGTACAACAGTATACACATGCCTATAATTTCACCGGTATGTTTTTTGTGCAGATACAGAATATTTCCCATACCCCTGCAGGAGCCTTTGATCTCCTTCCCGGACACTACTCCCTAAAGGTAGCCATTATTACCTTATATTACTTTTAGTACATTCCACCAAATGGATGTGTCATTTTCTTGCTGATAGTTCTGCAGTGTTGGGGCTCAAACTCAGGGCCTTGAACTAGGCAAGCGCTCTACCTTGAGCTGTACTCTAGCTCTGCTGTTAGATTTTTAAGGTGTCAACTTCTTGCAATTAGGAGCAATTGGATGGTCGTGTATTCCTTACAAATAAAGTACTCTGCAAAGATGGTTATTTTTAAAGATAAACTCCTGAGAGGCAGCTAGGTTTGGTAATACAAGCCTGTAATCCCAGCACTAGGAGGTTGAAGCAAGAGGATTGCAAGTTCAAACCCAGCCTGGGCAATTTATCAAAACTCAGTCTCCGGGGCTGGGGATTTAGCTCAGCAGCATAAGTGCCTGCCTTGCAAGTGTGTGGTCGTGAGGTCGATCCCTGGTACAGATAAAAAAGAAAAAGACAAAAAAAAAAAAAAAAAAGTTTTTGAAGTTAGAAAGAAGAGCTGGGGATGTAACTTTCTGTGAAGACTACGTTCATTTATTTACCAGTCACACACACACAAATTCTGAAGGACCCAGGGCAGATCAGCGACTATAAACATGCCAAAAACTTTATACATTTGGTTTTCCATGTCCTCAGGTCAGGCTTGAAGAAAAAAAGTTTTAAAATTGTATCTATTCTGAATATGTAGACTTTTTTCCCCTTACCATTTTTTTGTTTATTCCCTAAACAGTACAGTTAGCTATTTGCATAGCACTTACATTGTTCTGGGTATTGTATGTAATCTAGACATCATTTAAGGTACATGGAAAACCAGGTGTGGTGGTGCACACCTGTAAACCCAGCAGCTGGGAGGCTAAGGCAGGAGGATCACTGTGAGTTCATGGCCAGCTTGAACTACACAGTGAGACCCTGTCTCAAAAAACCCAAAACCGGGGCTGGGGATTTAGCTCAGTGGCATAAGCACCTGCCTTGCAAGCAGGCGGTCGTGAGTTCAATCCCTGGTACCAGAAAAAAAGAAAAAAAAAGAAAAAAAAAAGTTCAAAAAACCCAAAACTGAAAACAGAAACCAAAAAGAACCAGAAGAGGAGGAAGTAGAAGTAGTGATAGTAGTAATAGTACATGGAAAGATGTACGCAGGTTATTTGAAATATTATACCATTTTATATATGTGTCTTGAGCAGCCACAGATCTTGGTGTCTCTAGGGTTCCTGATACTGTTTCTCTGAGGATATTGAGGACCCCTGTGCTTTAAGGCAGGATGATAGTGAAGTTAAGACGTGCCATCAGGCAAAGCTCTGAGTGCCTTGAGATCTGACCTGTTGCTAATCTGTGATGTGTCCTCGTATGATAAGAAAGATGAGTGTTATCATCTGTTCAGTGGTCACTGAGACTTTGTGACTAACTTGTATATTAGATCAAGATCACCTGCTCTACAAGCCTGAACTGATTTAGAGCAGAGTAAGTCCTGTGTGTTTTTTTTCAAACATTGCATTTCTGATACTCATTCTTTGATTTCTTGGAAAGCACAGGACTGCTATTGTGATTCAGCTATTTATATATGTATATATGTATTTATTTTTCCAAACTGGGGGTTGAACTCAGGGCCTTGGCACTAAACCACATCTCCAGCCCTTTTTATTTTTCATTTTGCAGCAAGGTCTTCTAGGTCACTAAATTACCCAGGCTGGTTTGAATTTAACAGTCCTCCTGCCTCAGCCTCTTGGAGTGCTAGGATTACATGTGTGCACCATTGTGTCCTGCAAGAGATACGTTTTCAGGAAAGAGGCATTTGTCCTGTAAGAGGAACAGGAAACTTGGTTGGTGGATGTAAAGATCACTTGCTGGGCTAACCTGGGCTGCTGTGAGTTGCTTTTAGGACACTTAGTGGCTCTGGTTCTCTGTCTTAATTCCTGGCAGGGCTTCTGGATGAGATTTGAAGGAGGTGTCTTTTCGGAGAGCCTGGCTGGAGAAGACAAGGGTCAAGGCCTGAAGCCTCGATGATCGTCCATGAAGCTGGATGATGGCTGCAGAGGTGCCGGCAGTGACCGCTCCCCTGAGCCCTTTGCTTCAGGTGCTTCCAGTGGAAGACCAAGAGGAGGTAGCAGCCACCACTGAGGTCCTGGAGGATGACTCCTGGGTGCAGGAGGCCGTGCTGCAGGAGGATGGCCCTGAATTCGAGCCCTCTGCCCAGGATTTTGGCCAGGGCGGCCCACAGGAGGAGCCAGCAATTGGGGGACCACAGAGTGCACTTGGCCGCCTCCGAGAACTCTGTCAACGCTGGCTGAGGTCAGAGGTGCACACAAAGGAGCAGATGTTGACCATGCTGCCCAAGGAAATTCAGGCGTGGCTGCAAGAGCATCGGCCTGAAAGCAGCGAGGAGGCGGAGGCCCTGGTGGAAGACTTGACCCAGACCCTTCGGGATGGTGGTAAGATGCACAACCTCATGGGGCCCACATGAAGGAGAAGAGAGAGTACAGGGCAGTGCAGGGACAGGACCTTCCCTCTACGCTGTCCTCGTGCCAGTCGGCTTGTTCTCCCTGCTTTATTTATTTATTTATTTTTATTTTTTTTTTTGTCTTTTTCATTTTTATCGGTACCAGGGATCGAACTCACGACTGCCTACTTGCAAGGCAGGCGCTTATGCCGCTGAGCTAAATCCCCAGCCCCTCTCCCTGCTTTAATGCCTGTATTGCGCTCCACATTTCAGAGCATGAGGGGCTTAAGGACTAGGCGTGGTGCTACATCTGCATAGTGGGCACATTTTCTACTTAAATGTTTATTTGGAGCAGTTGGGAAGTTGGTAGAGGTTATGGGAGGAGGGGCTGAAGGCCGTCATAACCACCCTTTGGTACCTTTGCTTGGTTCTGCAGCAAACATTCAAATAGTTCCAAGTAACTAGAAAAAAAATCCAGTTTGTTCAAAGCAGTTGTGTTTTAGGAAACCAAGGTAAATGGCAAGGAAACCAGCTGATATCTAGGGACTTTCCATGGTATAAAATCATCTTGGACTCTTAAAAGAGTAGTTCCAAACTTAAGCTCTTTTAAATGGTTATTGTTTTTATCTCCTATGTCACTAGTTAGTTGAGGGGTCCTGGCATGAGGTCTCATCACTCTGGGCACATTTGGCTTCGGTCGTAAACCAGACTCATTCGATTGGGAGATGCTCGCTCCAGATCTGCCTGTGCCCCAGGACAGTTTCAGGGCACGTGGATATGGCTGCTGTGGTGAAGTTCAGAGAAAGGAGCAGGAGGAGGAGAGGTCAGCGAAGGCTTCGGGGGAGAAGTCAGATGGAAGTGGGAGGTTGCAGGACAGAGCGGAATTTGGAAAGCTTAGGAAAGGGAGGAGGTCATGGCCACCAAGAAGAAGGACCTGGATGGTGTGTTTCTTCTCGAGACAGTGGGGAGAGCTGGCTGGAAAGGGAAAGTACTTTTAGGAAGTGATAGACTTTAAGGGAAGGGCGATGGAGGCTTGGACTCACTAGCATTGACACCAGCGGGTTCTACACAGAGGAGCCCTGGGGCTTGGGAGGAAGTGGAGTACAGAACAGGAAGGAGGTGTGATGGGGGAGGGACAGGCTGGAGGCCGGAGAGCAGCCAGGAAGCTGCTGCTCCTGTCATGGGGTATGCAGAGATGGGGTCAGCCCAAAACGGAATAAGAGGGGAACAGGGTGATGCCGGACCTCATGTGAGAAATAACTAATGGTAGCAACAATCAGCATTTTCCCAGAGCTTTCTGCAGACCAGGCAGTGTACTTAGAATCTAACATGTAAAACTTCATCACTTTGGGAGATAAGCTGGATTCCCATGGCCAGAGAAGTTAGGTGATGTAACCCAGGCTGGCCTTGAATTTGCAGTCATCCTCCTGCCTCAGTCTCCTGAGTACTGGGATTACAGGCATGCACCACCATGCCTGGCCTCAGTTTAAAATGTTAAGAAAAAATAAAAAATCTCTCACCTGTGTAAAGATTTTGTTTACTTGACTCCTGATAGATATAAGAAGTTTGTAATGAACTTCCGGATCTTCAGGCAGATAGAGCAGAGGGGCTGAGGGCCAGGGAGAAGACTGCGGGTGAGAGGTCAGCAGGGCACCGCTCGCAGCAGTGTCTGAGGGATTGCAGCTCCCTCTACTGGCTTGCTGTGGGGTCTTGTGCCTACATCTTTTACCGAACTTCTGACACTGAGACCTGCTCCAGACTTCTGCCGTGTAGACCATCTTTGCCGATCTTAGACTGTGTTTGCGGGACTTAATCTGTTTCACAGATTCCCCCACCTTCCGTGTGATTGCCACAGCCTCTTCATCACTTCTCACACATTTACTGAACACCGCACTACTTGACCTTTGTTGTGTGCCCAGCACGGGATGTTTGGACACACGTGTCCAGCGGAGGACGTGTCTAGGCCTGGTTAGTTGGTGATGGCTTAATGTTTGACCAACAGGCATCTGCAGGTGCTCATGTTTCGAGTGCCTTTCCTGCCAGTAAGTCCAAAGCTTTAGTAACAGTTCATGTGGCTGAGGTCATCTCTGCTTGCAAATGTTAACTCCGTCCACAGCCTTGACTCGGCTCTTGGGATTTCTCACCTGAGTTTTGCAGCAGCCTCCAAACCAAACCTGCCCTCATCCCCTTCCCTCAACTCTGAAGCTCTTTCCTCCCACCAGTGATCCACTTGGAATCTCCATGCACCCCTGGGTATCTACCACAGCACGCAGGACCTCCTCCTGCAGGGGGCCCATGGCCCTGTGGGACCTGACTGAGACCTCCCCAGCAGCCGCTTCAGTCCTTAGGCCCATAGCCCCCGCTCTGTCGGATCAGGTCTTGCTGCTCTGTGAATATAACTGTGCTTGCTCCTGTGTCTTTATCCCAGGATGGCCTCTTCTCACCTCTGAGGTGAAATTCCTGTCATCCTTTGAGTGCTTGTGTGGACTTTCCGTGAGGCCATCCCCAGCTCCTCTCTCCAGTCCCCAGTTGACCTGCTTGGGGGCATTTCTGATCCTCTGTGCTGGAAGCCATCACCCTCAGGACACTTGGATTCTTCTTTCTGGCTTCTTCTCAGAGTCCATATTGTTTTCTGTTGATGTGGATACTCACTTTATTTCTTCTTGGATCCTGCCCCCCGCCCCCCATGCCCTCTCCCTGCACACATGTAGTAGGAACTGAGAAAGCACTGTTAGATGAGTAAGAGAAGCCTTCCTGCCCGCAGGTCCCCAGCCCCCTGCTCAGGGGAGGAAGAGGCAGGCTTCTTCCTTCCAACCTGCCAGGGTGAGCTTTGGTCTGAAAACAAAGTGCTCAAGTCGAGCAGAATACAGCCCAGGACCCCTCCGATCTGCAAAGGAGTAGGAAGATTTCAGGGAGGGGGCAGCTTAGTCCTGCAAAAGAGTGCTTACGCCTACTCTGCGTGGTTTTTAGTTTTAGGGGCCACCTATTAATCTTTTGCTTATATTCAGCAAATCAAGTGAATTTTATCATTTATACTAATAAATATATTTTTTAAAAACAGCATATTTCTGACACATGAGCCTTCAGGTTAAAAAAAAAACAGCATATTAAAAACAGCGTGTTTGAGCCAAGTATAGTGGTGCACGCCTGTAATCCCAGCATTCTGGGAGGTTGAGGCAGGAATATTAAAAGTTTGAGCCCAGCCTGGGCAATTTAGTGAGGCCTTATCTCAAAATAAATAATAAAAAGGGCTGGGGATGTAGCTCAGTATGAAGGTTCTAGTTTTAATCTGTAGTATCAAAAAATGTAAAAGACTTTAGGATGTGCCGAGATCTCAGCCTTACCTGGCCTGAATGTAAGCTTGCTGCCTCACCCTTTCAGTGAAGGAATCAGACCGCGGCTGTCCTAGCCACGCCTCAACCAGTCTCGGCCCCTGTCCTTCAGGCTCCCTTTTCCCAAAATAGTCGGTTCCTGAATCAGTTTCCCAGCAGTTTAATAAATCAGTCTTAACAATCACAGTTTCCAAGACAGCCGACCACAACGGTAGGGGTGCAGGAGGCCTCGACTCCAAGGCGGTGCTTACAACCCCTCCTGCCCTGTGGCCTGGAAGAGGCAGCTGCCACGGTTCCCTCTCAGTTTTAACTCCAGTAAAACCTGTCCTTAGTTGTGGAGCTCGACCTTCTTCCTTTTTCCTGCCAGTCTAGGTTCATCCACCCCAGCCTCAGGTGCAGTGTGTGGGGCGCACAGCGTTTGTGTGAGTAGGTAGGTTGTAGATTGGGAAACTGAAAGGGTTTTGGCCCAGATAGGACACTGTAGCCAGGAAAACCTCAACCGGAAGCAGGAAGCCCCATCTCCCCTGCCCCTAGGAAGTTACCTGTGACGCCATCTTCCCGCCCCTGGGAATTTACATATGGCACCAAACCTAGGACCAATGGGCTACCTGTGCATCCCTAATGCCCGCCTTAGGTTACACCCCAAACCGAGGCTATTTACAGGCCCCCCCACGCCACGTGTCCACCAGAGAGATGGCAGGACGCCAGCGGTGGGGGTGCTGGTCATCTCTCTCTGTGTTCTCAGAATAAAGGCCGCTTTTTATTTTATATTTCTCATCTTTTGTTAATATTTTTCATCTTTTGGAAATAACCCTAGCAGAAACTAAGGCTGTGGAGACTTTATACTGGCTATGGTTGGGGCTGGGAGCGACCCTGTCTGTCTCCTGACAGGAAGCAGCTGTGTGGAGGCTGGACTAGCATTCCTGACACCTCAAAATCCTCTGGCCAGGGGGCTGGGGATTTAGCTCAGCGGCATAAGCGCCTGCCTTGCAAGCAGGCAGTCCTGAGTTCGATCCCCTGTACCGATAAAAACGAAAAAGACAAAAAAAAAAAAAAATCCTCTGGCCAGTGGCACAGCATCATCTGGAAATGTATTTAAAACGCAGATCTCAGCTGGGCTGGTGGCACAGGCCAGAAATCCCAGTACTCGGGAGGCTGAGGCAAAAAAGTCACTATGAATTCGAGGACACCCTGGACTAGAATTTAAGGCCAGCCTTAACTACATAGTGAGACCTTGTCTCAAAAAACCCTCGGGGGCTGGAGGTTTAGCTCAGCAGTGTAAGCGCCTGCCTTGCAAGCAGGCAGTCGTGATAAAAAGGAAAAAGACAAAAAAACAAAAACAAACAAAACCCTCCAGACAATCAAAAAACAAACAAACAAAAAATGCAAATCTCAGTGCATAGCTATCACCACACAGCATCTGAGAAGCCCTGCAAAGGGTGTCCATGGGGAACCCTGACTCACAATTCTCAGGATATCAGCAGTGCCCACTCCAGGGGGTTGATTTTCAGATTTCTTGGTATGGGACATGCCCTGGAAAGGGATATTTTTTTCCCCCTCTTGATTTCTGTGCTGAAAATTGAGCCCAGGAGCTTCCCCTTGCTCATAAACGGGCACTGTACTGCACTGCTGAGCTCCGTCCCAAACCCTGGGGTCAGTG